CGGGGAAATGTGATTTTTGTGTGTTGGGGGGGGAGAGTATATTTAAAAAGAGACAACATAAAGAGCACTGCATAACGAAGCCTCGACTGGAGAACTGCTGATTAGATTGATTGCTTCAGTCCCAGATAATTATTTATTTGTGGTTTATATGCCTGTGGCGATATAATTATAATTGATGTAATTATGATTAACTTATGCATATTTAAATAGTAACCTAACGCCCAGAGTCATTTGAGGGGAGCCGAGTGAGAGTTTGGCAGGGAGGTAAAGGTTACAACCTTTGTATAGATGAGTGGGATCAGCAGGTTCTGACAGAGAGCAAAATGAATCCAGTCCAGTCCAGCCAAACAGTAGAAAGGAGAAGGCATTCCTAATAGATTCCACAAACAACTCTGAGCGTGTACCACTTGGCTTAGTTGGCATGGGCAAGGCATTTTGCATGCTGAAAGTCTTTAGCCAAATAAGGCAGGGCCTAACATTAACTCGCATGCTAGGTAGAGGTAAAGGGACGCCTGACCGTTAGGTCCAGTTGCGGATGACTCTGGGGTTGCGGTGCTCATCTCGCTTTACTGGCCGAGGGAGCCGGCGTACAGCTTCCGGGTCATGTGGCCAGCATGACTAAGCCGCTTCTGGAGAACCAGAGCAGCGCACGGAAACGCCGTTTACCTTCCTGCCGGAGCGGTACCTATTTATCTACTTGCACTTTGACGTGCTTTCAAACTGCTACGTTGGCAGGTTTTAGTACGGGTTTTAGTACGCTGAAAGGCCCACGCATCCCTCAGTGGAACTCTGTGTTACCCTTAAGCCTTTGCAAGAGCCATGAAATGAGAGACAGGATATTTTATTTTATTTTATTTTATTTTATTTTATTTTAATAGAGGGAATGAAACATTTCCCTAGTTTCAACATTTCCATAGTCTTGCGTCTGGAACAAGTAATTGGCAAAGAAAAGGCTAGTTGCATTGGCTCCCTTTTTGTTTTCTAAAGTGACAATCATTTGAGAACCAATAAGGTATGTACAGTGCATTAAAAAACAAACAAACAAACAAACAAACAAACAGAAACTACCAGAGCAGGATAAACTCAGGTGAAATCTGCAGAGGGCTCAAGTCGTTCCATTAGCTCCTCAAATTGGGAGAAGATTAATCCCCTTGAGTTCTATGGTCAGTTTGACTCAACTGTTCCTATCTTCACCCATCTGTTCCTGACATTCTTTTTTTAAAAAACAAACAAAAACCCTATGTCACACAACACACTAATCACATATAAAAGTTCACATAAATACATAAGAAACAAGTATCTTTGCATTCAAGTATAAAACATGGTGTTACTGTTTTGATATGTAGGCATGATGCAACACTGATGTTACATTTTTTGCTAGAGAAAGTCATGCCCTGTAAACAGCCATTTGGGAATAGCATTCTAGAAGAGGGGGGAGGAAAGGGGGGAGAATATTTGTCTGATTGTGACCAGCAATAACACCACATACGAAACTTATGAACTACATTCCTCAGAGAAAGGATGTAAAAAATGAGAGTTTGTGCTGTGATATGGGAAGCTTGGAAGATAGAGCAGTTATGTGACTTTGGTGCTTGTTCTTAGACCCCAGAATTTATTTTTGCTATCCATCTCTGACAAGATTTTGCAAAGCAATTCTGAGAAAATTGACATAATAGGACCATTCTGTGCTATACATCCAATAGGCATGTGTGCGGCTGTGTGACCAACATTGCTTGAAGGTTTCTTAGCTGGCAATATGGCCCTGTAAGTCCAGTCCTTCTCTGACAGTGTGTGATGTAGAGAATAAATCATATCACTCTAGAGAAAAGCTTTCAACATTTTTGGGGATAGGCAAATAAATGTGTAATAGAATTACGCAGCTCTGTGTCCTCTGTAATTGGTTTTTATTGTTCACACAACCGATCTTTGTTTTTCTAAGCAGATAAAAAGGGAAAGTAAAGAAAGATATGAGCTGTCAATTCATTTCTACTATTGCTATGCCAATTGCTTGTCTCAGAAGGCAGGAGTGATTCTGTATCAGTCAACACATTGTCGATTTTTAATATATCTGTAAATATTAAATGCAGCACCTTGGGACAGTGAGACCTGAATCCAGATCTCATAATCTACCGGAGGTAATTACATTTCCCACCTGTATGTCTTGATTGAGTAAATATTATCTACAGTCTTATAGCCATCATAACAGAATGTAAGTAATTTATTAGAATTATAGGCATCATATTGCTCAGCTTCTGAGAATGCTATATAATTATTTAGATTATTAAGGGAAAGCTTGCAGTATGATTGCAGACATGTACATCTGCCTACAAGAAGAGGTATCTAACACTCAGTCCATCTGTTAATAACAATTATCCTTCCATGGTTGCAAATGGAGAATTAAACCAATGGGTGGTATCCAACTAAACCATACTCAGAGCAGCATAAAATGAATGGACTTCAGTTATTATTACTGTTGTTGTTGTTTCCATATCACCCTTCATCCAAGGATCACAGGGCAGTTTACAATATAAAAACACAAAAATACATACCATAGCTACAAACAAAACAATACCTCCTCAATCATACACAGTTTAAATGGTCATAGATTGATTAATTAACCAAAAAGCCTGGGAGAATAGGAATGACATCTGAATATATCTGCTGAAGGTGCCAAGCAAACTTCCCTAGAGAGAGCATTCCACAACCAGGGAGCCACTGCAGAAACTAAATTGTCCATTGATTTCAATTATCTGCTCTATGATTTAGTCGGATATCTCCCAACAAAAAATGACTGGTGTTTTCATTCCCCTTACTCTGTACACAAGAGATATTAGCAACTGCAACACCTGCAATGGATGGAAGGAATAAAATACCTTTCCCTTTTAAGGACTGGATAGACTTGTGTGCCCACATGGAAATTTATGATAATTAATTTCAGCTACTTGTTGACATAGCTTTCACGAAACTATGAAACGGAAATCACAGAATTATACAACAGGAATTGTTCCAGTATAGTTTTTATTTTGCTGGGGGAAAGTCCCAAAAGGTTGTGTATGTATGAAATGGACTTTGTTTAAAAACCCCTGCCTGGGAGCCATAAATATTGTACCATGCGAGGCTACAAGAAGGCTATTTTTTAGACTAAATGATAAAGGGCAATCTTGTAGGGGGGCGGAATCCATTTATCTGGTAGCAGTGAGTTCCTAAACAGGGAAAGGATGGGCAGGTGGAGGTGTACACACTGTGGTAGCCTGATCTTCCTTTCCCAGGTGGCCCAGGATGGCTGACAGTGTGCTCCCACATTGCACAGCTGCAAGTAACCTTTCTACAAACCTTAGCACACACTATATGGCTTTGAGCACCATTATGACTTGCTAAATAGTCAGATGATCTTGGCATGCAAGCAAGGCTGATGGCATCCTAAAACTGGAAGGGACAGTACATGCTTACACAGTTCTCTCCCATGAAATGGTAGTGATGGCCACCAACCTGAATGCCTTTGAAAGAAGATTAAACAAATTCATGGAGGGTGAGGCTGTCAGTCACCACTAACCCTGATGAATGAACTCTTCCTCTACTGTCGGATGCACTATGCTTCGGAATACCAGTTGCATGTGGGCATCGAGGTGATCACTGTGAGAGCAGGATGCTGGACTAGATGGGCCATTGGCCTGCTCTTATGTTTTTATGACAAGAAATATTCTGCAAAGCAAGCACCACAAATAATCCAGATTACGGTACACCATAATCGTTTGTCTCTGGTCCTATTCAGACCTCCTGCTCTTTCAGTAATGCAAAACAGGACAAGAGACATCTTTCCTGCCATGATAGTATGATAACATATGAATCAGCTTTGTGTTTGTGATGGGCCCATTTGTGGTAAACTCCCTTAATGAAGATGGAAGTGGGGCAACATAACCCTGTCTGGGGTTTGTTTTTTGACCTTGTCTATGGCAACTGAGGAAATTAAACCGGTTTATCCTGCCTTTAAGCACCCCTAGCTACTTCCCTAGCCAAGTCCAATGTGCCACTTAATGGTCAAATTCTTCCTTTTACCATCCCCATACTCTCCTGATTGGCCATTTTTCTTCCCTGCCAGCATGATGTGTCCACCACAAAAATCACATTACCATTACCAGAGGAATGGGATTCAAACATAAAAATTCATCTTTATGCTCACGTGTAGTTCACATCTAGGTTCTTTGCTTTTACTGAAATGTGAATCTTCTGATGGAGTATCAGCAATCAAAGCTTTGAGAGAGATTTTCTAACATGATCTATGCTTGGTTTATGTGTTCATACTTCTACCACTACCAAGGGTAGAAGAACCATCACTAGCAAACTACAATGACTCAATCACAATTGTATGTATTTCTGTATCATTCACAACAGCAATTTGTCTCTCCATGGTGCTGCTGCAGTTCCGCATTTATATACGGTGCTACCTGATTCCTTTATAAATCTTATTGTCAATAAACCCAGAGCATAAGAATTGAGTGCTCTTTTAGAAGGATTTCTTGCTAGATTGTAGTAATTATTTATAGTTTATCATGCACCCATTATTCTTCAGCATCTAACACTGCAGCAGATTAGAAAAAGGAAACAACAAAGTATATATTAAAAGTTTAATGTATGCTATAAACAGTTTCAGGTGTCTTGCAAGTGTTCAAGTAAATTAGGACGTTCACTAAATCAAGCACCCCTGCTTGATTTTGCATTGATCTTGTGAGCTACTGCCTCCCTTCTCCCAAGGCCCTTAAATTTACTTTGGAGTGGGTAAACTTTACATTGTAAAGAAAGAGGCAGGCAAAATGGGCACTCCCTAAGGTCCAGCAGAGGGCCTTTTCCTGTTCAGGAATGTCCACGCAGAAGAAATGGCATGCATAGTGGCAATTGGGATTCTGGGACTTTTAGTAGCATCTCAAGCCATAAAGGATATTGCACCAACGTCTTGGGAGTGCTTCTTCTATTTCCATTGCCCATGTTTCAAAGAAGCTACAGAAATGATAGCTCAGTGGTAGATCATCTGCCTTGCATGTAGAAGATCCCAGATTCAATTGTTGGTCTTACCAGTTAGGGCTGGGAAAATCTCCTGTCTGAAACTGTGGAGAACCACTGTCCCTAATAGTAGACTATATGGAGTTAGGTAGACTAGTGAATCAGAGAATTGTAAAGTTGGTAGGGACCCCAAGAGTTATCTAGTCCAACACCTGCAATGCAGGAATGTCAGGAAAAGTATCAATGACAGATGGTCATCCAACCTCTGTTTTAAAATCTCTAAGGACGTAGAGTCCACTGCCTTCCAAGGGAGTCCATTCTGTTGTCAAACAGCTCTGACTATTACAAATTTGTTCCTGATGCTTAGTCGGAAAGAAGAGTTTGGATTTGGATTTGATATCCTGTTTTATTACTACCCGAAGGAGTCTCAAAGCGGCTAACAATCTCCTTTCCCTTCCTCCCCCACAACAAACACTCTGTGAGGTGAGTGTGGCTGAGAGACTTCAGAGAAGTGTGACTAGCCCAAGGTCACCCAGCAGCTGCATGTGGAGGAGCGGAGACGCGAACCTGTTCACCAGATTATGAGTCCACTGTTCTTAACTACTACACCACACTGGAAACACCATTCTTGTATCTTAAAGCCATTGATTCAGGTCCTATCCTCCAGAGCAGGAGAAAACAAGCTTGCTTCATCTTCCATGTGACAGCCCTTGAGATATTCGAAGATGACTAGCATATCTCCTCTCAGTCTCCTCTTTTCCAGGCTAAACATACCCAACTTCCTCAATTGTTCCTCATAGGCTTGGTTTCTAGACCCTTGATCATCTTGGTTGCCCTCCTCTGAACATGTTCCATCTTGTCAATATCCTTCTTAAATTGTGGTGCTCAGAACTGGACACAGTACTCCAAGTGTGGTCTGACCAAGGTAGAATAGAGCAGTACTATTACTTATCTCAGTTGGGACACTATACTTCTGTTGATCCAGTCTAGAATAGCATTAGCATTTTTGCTGCTGCATCACATTGTTGACTCACATGAGTTACACTTTTTAAAAAAGACATATGTTGTTAAAAAGCATTACTACTGAGTAAAGGAGTCATTTATACAATCACATTCAATAGGACTTACATCTGAGTAGACATGGTTAGAATTGCAACCATAGCTGCTTTTGTGATGGGCCATTAGCCACTTCATTAACTTTGTCTTTAAGGGCCACAGAACTCTGCTATTTTTGCTGTGGAAGACTAATAGGGCTACCCCTCTGGAAATTCATTAACTTTGAAAGGGAACACACAGGGAAGCTAATTGTTTTGTAAATATCTGTTGATGGCTGACATATGCGTGCCTCTTCTGTACTATGAGAGACATAAAAATGTGTATATTTCTACATCAGGGGAGGACAAAACAGAAGGAAGACTTGTGCAAAATGAACCAATTCCAGCAGAATAGAAAATAACACATGGAAGTGTAAATGAATGTTGGAAGTGACTGAGTCACGTTGAGGCATCCCTAGGTAAGATGGGATAATAAGCTACATTTCCAGAGAAAGTGTCTATTCTTAAAACACATTTTTGATAGCTGGTCTATATGTCAGGCACCCAGCTAGCTGTTGATCCACAGTTTAGCCATAATTTGCTCTTAAAGTACTCAAGTCCCACATGAATCATCTCCCCTCCTCCTCCTTACTAAAGCAGCCTCAACAGTTAGGTGATGTACAATAATTGTAGCAAAAGCAGCAAATATTGTCCCCAGTTTTGCAATACCAACGGCAACAACATTTTGTTTGCAGGTCTTGTAAAGCATGAACGAATTCTTACTTCCTTATTTATTTATTTATTTACTTATTTATTACATTTCTTTAGTTGCCTGGGTAGGTTATAACAATAAAATATGCAAGTATAAAAATAAAGGAATTGCAACCAGAAACAAGGAAAATGTAAAAAACAGTTAAAAACAGGTCTGGAAAACAATTTGCTGTATAAAATCAGTCCATAGCGCTAAAGAGATTTCTACATCAGAGCAAATATTTCTGCTTGCCTGATGGAATGATCCCCCCCCCCCGCACTGTTCTGGGAATTCTCCTGACCCCGTGAGCTATTTCGGGGGCACAGGGAGTGTGTTAAAGATGAGGGGGAAAACTCCATTGTGCTATCAGTAGTTCTTGCATGGATCTCTACTAATGGGACCCAATAATTGAATCCAGCCCAAACCATTAAAAACAACTCTATAGTTAGAACTGTACAAGAATATGGTTGCCTCCATAGAATTGCAAGATGTTTCACATTCTTCAACACAAATTTATGATCTCTATTCAGGCTTCTGCGATGATGTATTAATTTTGGTTTGAGCAGGGCAGCGCTGAAGCAGTTTCTAGCATGATTTGTAATATGTCAAAAGTGTGAGTAAAAGTGGGGTTTTTCTTCTCCAGTGCAGTCGCTGTCAAAGTATAGAATCAGATTTTACAGAAATTGTAAAAACAAAACATTAGAAGCAATAGAAGAATGTCTCTCCATTCACTCCCACACGCTCACTCACAACATTCTATAAACCAATATAATGTCCTGTGTTACTACAACTGAAACTGAATTTGTAACAAGGTCCATTCCTCAGTTGTTGTGCTTTCTTTTCTTTCTCCAGTTGACCAATGTGAAGCAGTGACCACAGTACTTGGTGAACATTACAGAACCTCTACACCTAGCACTGTTGACCACAGATACGATCTACATCTGCTTAGGGTTGCCATATTTCAAAAGGTGAAAATCAGGACACAAAAATTGTTGAACTTTTCTTTTGGTGTGTGTGTTGGGGGGGGGACTTGTTGATCTTTTGTGTTGAGGCTACTATAGGGGTGTGAATTCAATGGTGCATAGTGCTGCTGCATTTAGAGCAGGCATCCCCAAACTCAGCCCTCCAGATGTTTTGGGAGTACAATTCCCATCATCCCTGACCACTGGTCCTGTTAGCTAGGGATGATGGGAGTGGTAGTCCCAAAACTTCTGGAGGGCCGAGTTTGGGGATGCCTGATTTAGAGCAAGGCTGGGGAACCTATCACCATCCAAATGCTGCAAAATTATAACTCTCATATATCTGCCCTCTAACCATGCTGGCTGGGGCTCATGGGAGTGGTTGCACCATCTTAAGGGTTATAGGTCTCTCCCCCTATAAACCTTAAGTGTACACCCTGAGAAAGACCAACTATGGTTTCTTTTGCCACTACTGCACTGTGAACTGGCACCTCTAAGTGGGTAATGGAAGGGAAAAGGTGTCCAGAAATGCTGGATTGCACATTTTGATATAAATCAGCCAGTCATTTCTTGGACTACAGGCTTCTAGCGTTTCCTAAAGGTTCATTGCCATGCTTGATGTCATTGGTAAACATATTTACATGTTGTTGAATAACCTTTCCTAAGAAGATGATCACTCTCAACGGCCATTAAACCCATTTGCATTGCTGCTGCCAGAGTTAATGGTAAGGTTTTCATGTGGCACTACTAAATTATTCTCAATATACCAGCTTATATTGTAGATTTAAATCAAAAGTAGAATTAGTTTCATATATGAAACAAATTTCAGCAGTTATTTTTTTACAACAGTTGATAGAAATCTTCTAATGGTTTCATATAATCTCTTTAGTTCCTAATTAGTCCCTAATTGCAGATAAAATGTGACCATAAATCCAGCCTCCATGTCTGTATAACTAAAACAATTCTTTATCTGCTTTCCTCAGTCATGAATATTCTTCACATCATATACTGAAAGCCAACAAAATTATTTCTCTCATCTTAATTCGCAACCCTGCTGTGTTCCTTTTCTCAAGTCAGGATCAGCCACCTGCCTGGAAGGGCCTGCCCCATCACCACACTGAGAAACTTATCTACTGATTAGTCAGAACTTTGGGAGGCAATAAATTGAAACTATTTTTGGTTGATGGTAAGACAGCATAGAGCATATTAGCTTGCTATCTTGAATTCTGGGTTTCCATTCCGATTTTCTTAAACTCTAGTCAGGTGTTCCCCAGAGTATGCATGGAAAGAGGAGCAGAGTCACACACACTAGCCTTGCCGCAACATCCTACCAACTACAGGCTCAGATCTTTGTACACTGGAAGAAGGTCAGAAGAAGGTTGGCTTTCAGGACAATTGTACTGGGCTATTCTGCACCAACTGTATTAACGGTTTGGTGTTTTCAAGTTTAGACTGTGGTGAGTTTTCTTTTGGCATTGTACGCTATTTAGTTAATTACATTTGCCACATTTTGTGACATTTTCTTGGAAGGTGGTATAAAGATATCACTGTCCTTTATTTGTGTACCACCCGCTCACAACATCAAATCATATTACCTGGTTCGGTAATAACTGCAAGACATAACAAAATATAATTAATCATATAAACAACGAACTAATGAAACATCTCATATGGACAAATATACAATAAAATGAAACTATCCACTGATAGTGGGACACGGGTGGCGCTGTGGGTTAAACCACAGAGCCTAGGACTTGCCGATCAGAAGGTTGGCGGTTCGAATCCCTGCGACGGGGTGAGCTCCCGTTGCTCGGTCCCTGCTCCTGCCAACCTAGCAGTTCAAAAGCACGTCAAAGTGCAAGTAGATAAATAGGTACCGCTCCGGCGGGAAGGTCAAGGGCGTTTCTGTGCGCTGCTCTGGTTCGCCAGAAGCGGCTTAGTCATGCTGGCCACATGACCCAGAAGCTGTACGCTGGCTCCCTCAGCCAATAAAGTGAAATGCGTGCCGCTACCCCAGACTTGGCCATGACTGGACCTAATGGTCAGGGATCCCTTTACCTTTACCTTTTATCCACTGATAATTTGTAAAATGGTGTCTGGCTACAAAACCACAAGAACATAACCCAGATTAAAAGCAAATAGAAATGCATCTCCAGAACTAAGTCTTGCCCAAGCACTAACGCCTAAATAATACCCCATCCCGGTGCAATTTTCCTTTCTACTCAGTGCACAAAATTCAGAGATGAAGCTGGTAGGATCTGGGAAGAGGATTGCCATGTGGTCCTCCTCATTCTTTTTTTGGGTTGGAGGGCAGGGCGGTCTTCTAATAT